TAATACGTTTGTGGAGACCGCTTAAGAGGCTGTGGCTCTGGTCCAGAGTGTACATCACTGCTGATCGGTCAGAACAGAGAAGACTTCCTTTCCAACACAGATCTGTGTCCAACTTGCTCTTCTGTCCTCCACCCTCTGTGGAATGTTTTAACATCAACCGTGACATAGGACAAGAAAAGAAAGTCAATAATAGCAACTGAAGTTCAAATCGAGCATTTATGTTTCCAAAGCGCTTGCACATTCATAATCCTACTTGATTCCTCCCACTCCCTGTGAAGTCAGTAGCAAAGGTATCATTGTCACCACATCTTACACGTGGGGCACGGAGGCTCGGAGAAGGCATGTCACTTGCCTGAGGTCCCACAGATGGGAAAAGCTGAGGTCAGAAGTGCGTGGTTCCAAACCATGTGTTTTCTCAAATCATCTTCTCTGTTTGGCCTCCAGACAGAGGCAGAACTTTCTGTTCGCTTCTGTGCTGCTGGGTGGAGACCTGCAAACCTCTGCGGCTTTGCTACTTTGAACCCGAGACTAGCGAGTTCTAAATCCTGCCCCCATGCTCCCCTCACTTCACTCTCTGTACACCCCCATCTCCCCCTTCACGTATCCGTCCTGTCCATCCCTCAGCCCGTTCGTGTGCCAGGAACTGCGCTTCTAGGAATATGGGTTTGAGTGATGAAATGGTCCCTGAGAAATGTACAGTCTAATAAGGGAGGTAACTAATGGTGGCCAAATGCCACAAGCATTAAACAAGCTCAGTCAATAACATGCTGCAGGAACACGGAACATCAGACATCATCCTGCGCTTTCACATCGGTGAAATATTTATTTCTCACTTGATGTTACTTATCAGAACCCATTTATATCAAAGTTTGTAATTATATGACGCACGTCAAAACGTGATGTGGTACTTCCTAGTTTGGGTTACAGTTGATGCTTGTATGGATAATGAAAGTGTATTTCCTTTTAAAAACAAGAAAGCAAGCTTTTACCGTACTTGCGTGGGAACCTTGGCACATTGCATTCGGGAATATGTAGCGTCTTAGTAGCATCTGATTGTGCCAGATTGAAGTGACTTTTCTCCCAAATTTATTATTTTCTTAAATAACAAAATATTTTACATTTATCAGAGAATGTGACAATGGCTTATGTATGAGGCTGTCTTATCTATGCAGAAACCTAACGTTGCATCCTTCCTACACCTGCTTCAAAGCCCAGGTGTCCTCAGGGTGGAAGTACAGTGCACCTGCTTTCCCACACCCTTGCCCCCGCCAGGCCCCTCCTACCCCAGATCCATCTCCGTTTATCTGAGTTTCTTCCTTCATCCATAGGGAACTCGTTTTTGACAACTAGCCTCCTTGTATAATATAATTAGATTTTTCCCCTTTTTTTTTTTTTTTTTTTTTTTTTTGCGGTACGCGGGCCTCTCACTGTTGTGGCCTCTCCCGTTGTGGAGCACAGGCTCCGGATGCGCAGGCTCAGCGGCCATGGCTCACGAGCCCAGCCACTCCACAACATGTGGGATCCTCCCAGACCGGGACACGAACCCGTGTCCCCTGCATCGGCAGGTGGACTCGCAACCACTGCGCCACCAGGGAAGCCCCCATATGTTTTCTTTCAGATGGATTTATGTATCTGTAGAAAAGTTTTTTCTGTACCATTAGCTGTTTTTTTGTGGGGAGGGTGATTATTATGGACAAATAGCTAGTTATTAACTATAATGGATACCTTACCTAGAAGAAAATTTTGCCTTTTAATTTTAGCAAGATTCTACCACCATACTTAAAAGGGGTGAAGCGTAAACCTTTAAGAGCCTTTCATGAACTGCCTTTCATGTGCCCCCCTCAAAAAAAGATTGCCTTTGCCCAATTTGCTATGAATATGACCCTCAGTTTTCAGCAAAGAAACCCTAGCATTTACCTTTAGAGTTTCCTAGTTTGAAAGACACTGGACATCCTCAAAGGAAAGAACGAGATGTCAGAGCATTTGGTCCGAGGAGAGACTCGGCAAGGGGACTGACTGCTAAATGAAGACAGAAACTGTTGGCCTTGGTTTTGGTACCAGATCTGGGGGTGAGGTGCTGGGTCAGAGAGTCACATTGAGCCTGAGGCTCCAAAGGGGACCGTTAACACCCCGGCAAGAGGGCCCCACCTGCCTGAGTTCACCCTGCTCAGATCACAGGGCACCTTGTTACCGCAGGAAAGGAGGAGGTGAGCCGGCAGCCTCTGCTCAGAGAACAAGAAGATTCTGGCAGGGGCCTCCCACCCAGGAAGCGGGAACCACCGAGGCTGATGCTCTGAAGTCACCTGTTAGTATTTCAACTGGCCCAGAGTTAGTGAACATCTTCTTCTTTTTTTCCCATCAGTATCTAGTTTGAAATTGTTCCAGCAAACAGCGCTTATAACGTAGAAGGAAGTGGTAGGAAAAGGATAGTAAGGCAAATGGTTCTATATGTTACAGTTAAGTGGATGTCTTAGTCTGATTAAGCACGGGTTTTCTGATTGTAGGATAGAGCTAAAAAGCCAGCCCCCATCAACCCCACCCCAGATGAGTGCGAATCACAGGGAACCTGAAGGCTCACCAATGGACTGCAAACATTCGTGTCACGTGTATGGCTGAAACTCCAGCCCATTTGAGTATTATTTTCTGAATTCTCTAGACCCAACAGAAAAGAGGGAGCTGATCTTGAAGCAAAGAGGAAAAGAGGGGTTGCTTTCTCACCCCAACTTCAGCCATGCTATTGGTGGAGGAGATGGGAGAGGAGGTGTCATAGGGTGGGGGTAGGGGGACTTCAATATGGGTTTGTCTCCATGGAGACCTGCTTGTCTTGTTCAGTCAGCGGAGGGCGTCTCAGGTGTGGTCCTGACTCTTCTCCAGCAAGGATGCCCAGGCATCCTCAGACTGGGCTTTCGGGCAGACACCAGCAGTTTTTTTTTTTTTTTAATCACAGGCAGCTTAAAGCCAGTTACATTCTATATACTTCAAGCATAGCAGGGACGCCCAACTCAAATGGGTATTTTATAATCAAGTTGTATGTGTTTTGTATTTAAGACCTATAGGTCTTATGTACTTTTAGGGAAGAGTCTTGTGACAAAAAGTAAAAGTTACTAAGTGGTTAAAATTCAAGTCTTTTTTTAAATATTGAAGTACAGTTGATTCAAAATGTGTTAGTTTCTGGTGTACAGCAAAGTGATTCATATTACATATATACATATATATCTGAATCTTTTTCAGATTCTTTTCCATTATACAATAGTTTATTACAAGATAATGAATATAGTGCCCTGTGCTATACAGTAGGACCCTTGTTGTTTATCTATTTTATATATAGTATTTTGCACCTGCTATACAGGGATAAATTAGGAGTTTGGGATTAGAAGATACAAACTACTATATATAAAATTGTTAAGTCTTGACTGTTTACACAAATGGCAAGGCTCTGTATATCTATGCCGGAATAACACTGTTCTCCAAATAGATTTTTTTCAGAATGCCTTCATGATTTTCAGACCTTTGTCCAAAAAATAATTCATAATGTACATAATATGAGATCATCCTATACCTTTGTCAACTCAGCTGAACTTACAAATGCATCTTCCTCTCCAACCCCATTGCAGTCCTTGAAATAGCACAGTCTCTGTATATCACTGCCATAAACCCTGGTTGTTCAATAAAATTTTGACTTGGATTTTATCTCAAAATGGTCCATGTTGCTCATTAAACTAAGAAGAGTGATTTGGGGGCATTATTTCCTGTCATGCATTTACATTTGTTGCATGTGTATGATTTCTCATAGGTATTCATCGTAATTATCTTCACTGGCATCAAAACCGTTTTTAAGTACTTGAAAATACACATGATATCATAAGAGATGCTGTTTTAAGTATGCTGAACAGACATAGATGTTTTTCTCGAAGATCTTAACTCTGAGACAGACAGTAATAATATAACTCAAAGCCAATCTAGAAATGCAATTTAGGAGCCATAAATACGAAAGTGTTACGAATGCAGTGACAGAAGTACATGGGTTCCAGTTTGAACACATATGGTGTCATAAAATTTGCATATCACAAAATCATTGCATTTTAGGTCTATGAGTTTTCTTCAAGATCAAGGCCTTTTCCTTGCTTCATGGAGAATGAAACTGAGCCCAAAATCCCTCAACTGGTTCGTGACAGTGTCGCCTTGGAACACAGGTCTCTTAACCATGGATTTCTTTTCTTTCCATTTGACTACTACATCAAGGGAATTCCTGTCATTTCCAGTTGGAGAGGCTTCCTGGAGAAGAAATGTTTTCTCTCCAAATCATTCGCACCACAGGTGTTGAGTCACCCAATTGTCTTCACTCATTAGCAAATCTGAAATTAACACAAGCCTGGTTACCATTTAAAGCGAACATGTTTTAAAAAGTCTTCAGAGCTTTGTGACTACAAAGAAAGTGGCAACTGGTTACCTGTAAGCCACAGGCTTTCAGCTGACGTTTCTCTAGGTATTCATTCCAGCTTTAATTACTTGTCTTTTCTATTAGTTTTTTGCCTCTAACTTTACCCTTTCCTAGAGTTCTGCAAAATCTCCTTGGAACATATATTCCATCAGCCCGGGAGCCTAGGTGGACAAATCCTTCCCTAAGGGCTTTTATTAGAAACCTCCCTGTCTAAATTGAAAACCAGCATCATGGGTACCTGTGGTTAGGCTGGCCCTTCGGCTTACAGAATCCCGGTAGAGGCTCTTCTGTTTGGGGTGGGGATGGAATGGGGACACATGGGGAGGGGATTGTTTTCTATTTATTTTCCGGCACCTTTTCGTGGCTGTGATCGTTCTGTTTTGAAAGTGTTCTTGACACAGAACCTGAAGCTCATTTACATTATTGGCAATGTGTCATTTGCTGTACTTTGTCTTATCATTGGTGTCTCCTTAAGAATAAGAAGAATAATGAGCAGTTATGCATTATTCATCTCAAGTATACAAATCAGACATTTATCTGCGGCTCCTTTTTTTTCTAGAGCTTGCACTCGACAGCGCATGCTGAGCGGATCATTTGAGGGGCAGCCAGCGAAGGAAAGGTCAATTCTCAGCGTGCAGCACCATATCCGCCAAGAGCGCAGGTAAATACACCGGAAGACAAGGCTGCAGGGAAACGAAGGAAAGGAGCTTTACAGGAAGCACCACTGACCCCTGGTCAGGAGGCAGGCCCGGGTGAAGAGCTGAGTTCTGTTTGCTAATGGCAACAGTAATAAAACTCACAATGAGATTCAAAGAGTCAAAACACCTTTCAAAAACCCTTCCCTTGGTGATGATAGCCAAATTCTCACTTTTAAGATCAGAAGGAAAAATGCTGAATTTTGTTAGATGAGATCAAAGGCAGGTGGATAGACTATAACTTTTGCTATAAAAAGAAATATTAAGCATTTGTGATGCTGTCAGGAGTTATTTTATTTCATTTTTATGATGGTCATTGCTTAAAAGTCCAAATTTGGTCTCGAGATGTATTGATCAGTTGGTTGTGATTGTTTTAGGTCATTAAGACACGGATCAAACAGCCAGAGGATCAGCAGGGGGAAGTCTCTTGAAACTCTGACTCAAGATGTAAGTTCTAAGCAATGCTTTCGATTTTGGAAGTGTGATTGTGAAAACGTATTTAAATGGTTGAAATACGGAAAAGTGACCATAAACCGTAGAAAGATCTGGACATCCTGCAAAGCACATGTCTTCGTTTAGATAGTAACACAAAAGTGAAATATCAGACGCATTTGACTGAAATTAAAGACATTTAAAGCATTTTATGGCAATGAATCACATCCGTAACTTTAAATATTTACTAATTTCCAAATACAGGTCCAGTGTCTATCATTTCAGAGTTAACATACTAGGAAATAAAATTTTATTTCTAGAGGAATTTTTCTGTCAAAGACTGCACAAGATTTCCCAAGAATTTCTTTGCTTTTCAACTCTAGGTCATTCATCTATTCATTAACTGACACAGTAAAATATTTATCAACTACTTATGATGTGCCAGGTCCTGTTCTAAGGGATGAAAAGTAGCAGGGAAACAAGACAGAATCCCTGCCCTGTAGGAGCTTACCTTCTAGTGAAAGATACGAACAGTAAGCAAGCAGACAAATACTGTCAGTACAACTTTTTCTGGGTATGATTTCGTTTCCATCATCTCTTCATTGCTGTGGCAGTTTTGCTCTGTACTACAAAGAAAAATCACTAGTTCAAAGCGCTTTCCTTCAGTGAGATGCCATAGAAATGTATGGTCTACTTAAGCATCAAATTAGAAAATGGCTTTGAAAATGTGTGTTTAAAAACACACAACAAAAGGCCCAATTTGAATAGTCTCCATTCCAGAGGCTTAATTCTTCTTTAAAGACTTTTTATTGTATTTTCTACATAGACATAGAACGAAAATCCATACCTCGTCTTCTCCATAGCAAAAGGTCACGAGGTTCTGCTAATTTCATAAGAGATCTCTCCTAGTGTCTTTTCCTCCAGAATAGAAGCCATTTAAAATAGGGAGCTTTAGGGCTTCCCTGGTGGTGCAGTGGTTGGGAGTCTGCCTGCCGATGTGGGGGACACAGGTTCGTGCCCCGGTCCGGGAGGATCCCACATGCCATGGAGCGGCTGGGGCTGTGAGCCATGGCCGCTGAGCCTGCGCATCCAGAGCCCGTGCTCCGCGGCGGGAGAGGCCCGCGTACCGCAAAAAAACAAACAAACAAAATATAAAATAGGGAGCTTTATCTTTGTCACTTATTCCAAATGATAGAAGATACAGATCATTACATCCAAGGAATGCTTTTCTATAAAATCAATCCAGTTATTTGAACAATGGTTCTCCATCTTCTACGGCAGCGGTCCCCAACCTTTTTGGCACCAGGGACGGGTTTCATGGAAGACAGTTTTTCCACAGACGGGGGGTGGTGGTGTGGGGTGTGGTGGGGGATGCTTCAGGCAGTGATGCAGGCGATGGGGAGCCAAGGGGAGAGATGGGGAGGGATGGGGAGCCAAGGGGAGGGATGGGGAGGGATGGGGAGGGAAGAGGAGCGATGGGGAGCCATGGGGAGGGATGGGGAGCCATGGGGAGGGA